TCCGCCCTCTGCCTATGACGATTTTTTGGCAAAAAAATTAAAATCTTACATCCGATTGAAGTTAAAAGATATTGAACTAATTAGTTGATGTAATTACGTAACAAAAAACGACTTTTGACGACTTCTTAGTATTTTGAAAACCCTAGAAAAAAGTTAGAGAGAAGTCGAGAAAATAGAGCGTAGAGAGATAATTTTTTTTTGTAGAGATAAAATATTTTTTTATTTATGTGCGCGATTTAGTAAATTTTAGTGTGAAAAATCATAAAAAAATGTTAGAGAGAAGTTAGAGAAAATAGAGCGTAGAGAGAGAATATTTTTTTGTAGAGAGAGAATTTTTTTTATTTACGTGCGGGATTTAATAACTTTTATTGTAAGATTCAGCACCCCTTTATTCATTCCCCTATTTTTTTAGTATATTTTTATATTTTGATATCCAATTAAATCAGTATAATATTAGCAAATTTAGTGCTAAATTTTTAAACCAGCGTACATAATTTCTTTTATTAGCAAAATGGCCTTATTTAGTGATGATTGGGGTAAACGTAGAGCCCAAAATATATTATTGGGCCTTATTTCCTGTAGCCCATTTTAATCATTAATTGGGCTTTTATTCTTCTATAGTTAAAACTTTTTGAAGATTGTTAGCCCAAAAACTTGTTTGTGTAATTCTAACCACCATCTCAACTATAAATCTTCTTACATGTATACCTTTACGGTATCAAATTCAATAGAATTTTTCAGATTCCGTAGAATATTTTCTAATTTGTACTTGTTTTGTGCAAAAATTGTAGTTTTTGATGCATCACAATCTGATATTTACAAGCAAATAGATACATGTTATGATCATCTTGTTTCAAAATGTGGAGGTCGAATGGGGCAAAACGGGTACAAACTGGAGAATATTCCACATAATCTATAAGATTTCATTAAATTTGACACCCGTAGACATGTAAGAAGATTCAATAGTTAAGGGGATGGTTGCAATTATCCAAAGATGAGTGGTTTTTTATAATTTGACCTTACTTGAGGTGGTGACGGTAATTTTACCGAAAATACATCAAGTATTTAATTACTTCTTTTTAAAGAGATTAGTTTCCTAATTTGTCCACCAAAACACTTTGTGTTAATTTAAAATAATTTTAATCATGGAACATTTGCACAACACACATATTTCTGACATTGCATACTATATATAATTATCCATTTATATATATATGGTGATGGTGATGGTGATGAAGTGTAGATGTAATTGCATTCCTGAAGAAGATTTGAATTTGTTTGGAATTGCTTCAAGAAAGGGGAAAGGAAAACCCCTCACATGGGAGGAAGAATTATTACTATTCTATAGTCATGTTGTTGTGTGTATTTTTGTATAGATATAATTATATGTAGTGGGAAAGATTGTATATATATAGATGTGA